GATACAGAGTGTCAAAGTTGAATTCTTATTTTTGTTTTTTGATGATGAATTTCAAAATGATTGTCATATCCGAATGAAGTTTGGTATCTAGGGGTACTTTTCAATGAAAATATCAAATTTTATGTTATTTTGTCTCTTTCGTGGGAGTGGCGCCTTCTACATGTCTTTTGAGTCTTTTGAAAAGTCATAACTTTCTTGTGTGTACCTATATAACGTTTTATGGTGGAAAAATAGATTTCTAGAACACTTTCGTGTGAAAAATATATTCCTGGTAGAGGTCGCTGCGAGCAACTGTTTTCGAGTTATTGGGATTTGAAATAATCAATGCAAGTAATTTGGAATGACAAGAAGTTGTAATTCAAAATTGATTTATGGAGTGAGGGAGATTATTATTCTTTAATTTCATAAAAAAATAGGAATCGGGTGTTATTACAATTCAATACTAATAATGATAGCAGTAATCAAGACCAAATTGATACAAGAACGGATTGAAATAACATGACAAATACTCACTTGATTTAATTTCTTTTTAAATTGAGAGTCCAAAGAAGTAGGTACGAAGAAGTGACAATCATCTTTTGCCTACATTCCAAAGTTGAATGTATGAGAATATTGAATGAAAGAAGAAAAATGCACAAGCGTATCTTTTCTGATATTCACTACTTAGAGCCTACTTACGAGCCCTATGGAATCAATTCGAAATCATCAATTATTTCAAAACCCTATAACTCGAAAACAGTTGCTTGCAGCGACCTCTACCAGGAATATATTTTTTACACAAAAGTGTTCTAGAAACCTATTTTTCTACTATAAAACGTTATACAGGTACGCACAAAAAAGTTATGACTTTTCAAAAGACATGTAGGTAGCGCCACCCCCACGAAAGAGACAAACTAATATAAAATTTGATATTGTCATTGGAACACACTCTTAGGTACCAAACTTCATTCGAATATCACAATTATTTCGAAATTCATTAACAAAAAATAAGAATTTGACTTCCATGCATACTCTGTATCTCAGAAACGAATAACTTTCGGACGTATATTTATATGAATTTTTCTTTTAATTTTGACGTCAGCAACATGCCCCTGAATTTTCTACACGTACTTAAGAAACACCCTGTATATACTACCATACGAAAGCGTCCCTGAACGTACAACTATACAAAAAACCGATAGTGTTCCGTCCTGCTCGAAAATAAATTGTAATGACACTGTTGCCACTGCATCTAAAGTAACAGGTATATCAGTAATTTCTGATAAGCAGGTATGAAACGCAATTTTGCAAGCGAATACAAACCAGATTTGTAGCAGTTACATTGAACTGAGTAAAATTAAATTCCGATGATTTGTAATATATGATGGAAGTTTATTTCCCAGAAGTGACAACTGAAAAAATATCATCAAAATATCCAGAGTTGTATTCGTCCTTTAAAGTCGATGTTTTCAAGAAACATTACATGAAAATGCAATGGATGCCTCTAAATGGCCAATCGGCGCACATGTCTAACGTTTTTTATACCTACAGCGGAGGAAGGAAACTGCCAAGATATAGGACGGGAAAATGTCAAACAGGAAACGGGTGACGATCCAAATATTGGAAACATCACAAATTTTAATTATATAAATTGTTATAACTTATGTAACCGCAACATGGTGAGTGTATATCGATATTCAATGTGTATCAAATAAACAGATAAAACTTTATCTAGATGAATTGAAGTTTTTATGCAGTCTGTTTTTCTGAATACTGGCAACGTGAAATTGACCTCTCAGCTATAAATATCACAGATTATACATAGGGAAGCTCATTTCATAGGAAAATCAGGAAACATGGAAGTGTTGCCTTATTTTTGAAAACTAATTTTCCGTACAAACCATTAGAGTGAAGTAATGGTATTGCTGAGTTTCACTTTGAGTTCTGTGGAGTAAAACTAACAAATAAAATGATCATCATTGCGAATTACAGATCTGGTTCAGGTGATTTTGAAATTTTATTTGAGCAATCAGAAATATTGATATCATATTTTTATTCAAGGAAAAATACAATTGTTCTGGTTGAGGATTTCAACATAAATTTCAAATCGCCTCGAACACAAGAAGTTCAAGAGACATGAAAACTTAAGCAAATTCTTTCGGCCTCAAAATTAGCATTCGAGCTGCATTGACAATATAATCATGAATATTGATTTCAGAGAAGCAGGAGCTCTCGAATCCTGTTTGTCTGATCATCGTGGGCAATATCTTTTGATGAATGATCCACTAGAACAAGTCAAATTATTTAAAGAAATTTTTTTACGAAATCTGTTATGCTTAAGGCAATGTTTGGTAAAATTGGATTGGTCCATTTTCAATAATTCAAAAAATGCTGATGAGCTTGCTGACTTCCTGATTGGAACATACAGACATTCTATAAATTCATGCGTTTCAATGAAAAAAACCTCAATATTTCTTAAAGCTATGAGCGATACTATTTCAAGTATTAAACTGATTGCTGTAAGTAACATGGATTTTATGTATTTCCTGATATACATATTTATATAATATTTACCATCAACATTACATCGTAATATTTAAAAAAGGCACAACGGCCCATCACCGCAACGTTTCTGTGACATCAAGCATCTCTCTGAATAACATCACAAAGTAACAATAAGATAACGATTCTTATATTCAAGTTATGTTTCAATGTTTAGTGGGAAGAGCTTTACCTCAAATCCCAATGGCCGGAGAAGATATCGAGAAAACTGCAGTCATCTCTCCTTTTGGTTTGTTCGAGTTTTAAAAAATGATGTTTGGATTGCGTAATGCTGCACAAACCTGTCAAAGTTTTGTTCATCAAGTAGTTCGATATTTGGTTTACTATTTTCCCCAGATAGACAACTTTCTTATTAGTTCAAGGAATGAGACTGAACATCAGGAACATCTGAGGGAGGTATTCAAAAGATTCAAAACCACTAGTATAATAATAAATCTCGAAAAATCTGAATTTGGGGAGACCAACATCAATTTTCTTGGATATTTGGTATCTGCCTATGGAATAACATGGAAAGTTGAGGCTTCGGCAAATAGTCAACGTCCTGACGATATACGTTCTTTGAGAAAATTTCTTGGGATGATCACCTTCTATCGATGATCTATTTGAAATGCCGCTGTTATTTTATCACCATTGAATCGTTTTCTCTAAGGCAATTCGAAGGAGAGAGCTAAGATTGTTCAGTTACCGGAACATGCCTTCAACAAGATAAAAGCTGCCTTAGTAAACGCTGCTCTACCAGTACATCCATCGATTTCGGCACCACTGTCAATCATGGTTGATGCATCAAGTTCTTCAGTTGGTGCTTGTGTTCAGCAGAATCGTGGGAACATTTGACAACCATTAGGATTCTTCTCGAAACTACTATCACCAGCCCAAGTTGAGTACTGTACTTACGATCGAGAGCTACTTGCTATATACAAGACTATGAAGTGGTACCTATTAGGAGACCGTGAATTTATAATTTTTACTGACCACAAGCCTCTCACGTTTGCTTTCACGAAAAATTCCGAAAATTTGTCTCCCAGACAAACAAGGTACTCAGATTTTCACTACTCTTCTAAGACTAACAAAATTGGAGATTCGTGATATAGATTTCGAGATTTATTGTGATTTAGTAAGTAATACAATCAGGCCATTCGTTTCGAAGGAGTAGAGGTTCCAGATATTCCTAGTTACATAATCCATCTCATCCGGGCGTGAAAGCAACAATCAAGCTAATCAAAAGTAAATACACTTGGCCAGGGAGGGATAAAGATTCAGGACTTTCGACTCAACAGTGTAAGGGATGCAAAGTCGAGAGTTTACTGACACACTGAGAGTCCCATAAGTCAGTTCCGATCAGTTTCCTCTAGGTTTGAGCACATAAATTTGGATATTATCGGTCCTTTACCATCGTCAAACGAATATACTTATTGTCTCACGTGTGTAGACCGTTATATAATATCCCGATATCAGGGAAGAAACAGTGGCATCACACTTTCACAATGATTGGATCTTCAAATTCGGTGTCCCACTCAGAGTAACCACTAATCAAGGTCGACTGTTTGAATCAAAGTTGTTCAGAGAATTAGCTAAGTTATTGGGAATCAAACATATTCATACAACAGCATACCATCCTTGTTCAAATGGTATGGTAGAAAGAATGCACAGAACATTGAAAGGTTCTCTAACTAAATTGCCATATCAATGAGAAATGGATTGAAGTGTTATCAACTGTCCTTCTCGGACTCAGAACTTCTTTTGAAGAAGATATTCGAGCAACAAGTGCAGAGTTGCTTTATGGTACAACATCACGTATTCCTGGCGATTTTATTCACCCAAGCAAGGTTGAAGATCAATCTATATGCAATCGAGAAGGATTCGTTATTCAATTGAGAAACTACTTCCAACGATTTCAGGCAATACGTGGCTCAAATCATCCCAAAATCGCAGGTTTCATCAACAAAATTTTATTTTAATCAACTCATGTTTTCGTACGAGTCGATTCTGTAAAAAAACCTTCACAAGCACCAAGCACCATACTACGATGGCCCATACGAATTTCTTGACAGAAATAATAAGGTTCTCAAGACACTTCCAAATGGGAGAGAAAAGTACATTTCGATAGACCGACTTAAGCCTGCGCATTTGTAGAACTATGAAATTGAAGGAGAAATGACCGAGAATTCAATTTATTGGTAGAAATATTGTTTCAACAATTTGATGCCATACTTTTTCTTTCACGTATTTTTTTCTTGTGAAAGAGTATTGTAGTGGATCAGTCTTCATCAATCTCTTTGTGAGATAAGTGGTCAATTCTGAATTGAATTCAATATAATAAAAGGATTTGGTTGATCCAGCATTTGATAGTTTTACTATAAAAGGATTTCGAAAAGATCATCTTGTGATATTTTCAAGTTGGTAGTTCAGACAGAACAAATGGATTGAAAACAATAACCGAAATAAATCAAGCTACTTACCCATCTCAGTTGACTTTCGCTAGTAAGCGACCTCCAAAATGCACCAAATTCCTTGTAAATATCTGTCACGACTTTCCCGACGACTATAGAACTCAATGTTCGAATAGCTTCTACCACAATTTCGGTACCCCTACCAAGCGTGAAGGTGAGTCCATAGCCTTCCAATCCATTTTGGAGTCTTATTATGACGTATGCGCAGGAGTAATCAGGATCAGTGTGCTAGAAAACATTCAAAGTTATATATTGCCATTATTCTGGAAATGCCTGTTCTATTTGCTTTGAGTAATTGATTTCATGAGTCGCACAAATCTATCTTACATCATGTGTTCAATTGATATATATAATTCAATTTTCGTCGTGGCATATACCGTAGAATGGGGCTATTTGGAACGGATTTTATCGATTTCAAAGCGTAATATTATTAACCAATTTTATTTATGAATTTGTTTCAATGCTATCGGTGAGATGTTTATCGATGCTATAGGCTGAAATTGAGATTTTAAAAAATAAAAAGGTAATGAATGCCTGTTTATATCATTCCGAATAACCCCAGGTCGGACCTCCGACTTCAATCTCGGGATCCTGACTTTGAAGTCGGACCCCCGATTTTGATCTCGGGATCCCGACATTGAAGTCGAATCCCGACATTAAAGTCGAATCCCGACATCAATGTCGGAGACACTAGATTTGTTACCTAACCGAGAAAGGTGCACCAACTGCGTAGTCAATGTCTGTCATGGTCCAAATATTGATCCAAATCCTAAAATTACAGGGTGTTTCAGATTTAAATGTACATACGATACCTGTAGATAGGGGACACTGTGATGGTTCCAAATTACCCCCCTTTGATGTGTCTACCGTTATTTATAACTGAGATACAGGATGATATCTTGATTTTGGCAAAATCATCATCTGGTCATAGCTTTTGAACAACTTTGTATAATCTATCTATACTTGGTAGAACTATTTCACTTATATTACCCATCAGAACTAAATGAAAATCGGGATCAGAATCCAGGTCCGTCTTGAAGAAAAACAGAAAACTTCTTTTATATCAAAAACAACACTCTGTATGGCAAAATTTTTTAGATCTGTTTCAATATTTCAAAAGAGCAAGGAAAAACGAAACGAAGTGACCTACTTTTTACGACCGCGCATCCGATTTAACAGATGTTTTATTATTATTTTCTGATATACTCGGCTCCATTTTGAGTCATTTTTATTGAACTCGTAATTCAAAATCCTATTATCTCACAAAATAATAACGTCCTTCGAAGTTCAACATCAGTGGTGTGAAATAGATAAATCTGTTCGTTTGACAGAATAACGTCTGTGATTTTGGAAATTTTTGAGGGCTTGTTTTATTCATTACTATTGATTGATGAGCTGCGGTAAATCTATAAATTGTTCACCTAATTTATTATTAATGACGATCAATTTTGGAGACAATCATTTTTCTGTATCGAAATTGGATTTTGAAAAACAGTTCAATAAAATTTCCTCGAAATGGGGTGAATATTTCAAAACATAATAATGAACTATCTGTCTAATTGGATGTGCGCTTGTTATAAGTAGGTCACTACATACATTTTTTCCTGCTCTTTCCAAATATCAGAACAGATCCACAAAATTTTGCCATACAGAGTGTTGTTTTTGAGAAAAACAAGTTTTCTGTTTTTCCTTAATATGTAACGATTATTCCGTTCCATTGAGATGTTTTCAATCAATCAACCATTTAATTATCTGACGTCCATTCGTTCTTCTATCTACTTCCGCTTATCAGCCCTTCACCGGTTCAATAACCATATCGAATTTATCAAGTCTTGCGCGCTCGTCCTTCCCGCTAGACAGCGACAGCGACACAGAAGATCGAAGAAGGGAGACTAAATAACCAATGAGGAGAAGGGATTGATAGGAGAGGATCTTTCGCGAAGAACGAATAGGAAAATCAAAGTCCTTCTGATTTGAACTACCGACTTGAAAGGTTGAAGTGATAGGTTGTGGGAATTGAAGATATCTGGTAGGTCTGGATCTATCTTTATTTTTCGAGTGAAATAACTTGTCATCGCAGACAGTTGGTTTGTTAGAGTTGACTATTATATATTGAATTAAATATTAATTGATATATTTTTGATCAAATTTCATTTTTGAGAGAGATAATTGCGTTCGAGTAAATTGAGGTTATAATTCATATCGGATTGTTTCTTATGTAAAAATTGATCATCGATATCAATTTATTGGATATTTGACTTCTTCCTATAGTTTATTAGCACTTGATAACAATATTTTTGTAAAATTGCAGATTTATAATATAATAAATCATATACAATTATTTTTCAGTGAAAGGTTAAGTATCACCTGCCTTGCCGCTTAAATTTGCTTTTTATAAATTGTTGCTATCAACATCAGCTTTGTTGCTAATTTTTTCTTCATTCAGTAAGTTGAAAACAGTATCTACTACAGTATTGGAAATTCGAAACGTCATCGTAGTTTCCTCAGATTTTCATCCAGGAAACCTGAACTGAAGTCTACTCTGTGTCTCGTCTAGGAACCTTGAGCCTACAGGACCTATAGAGCCTTGAAGTTGAACCTTGACGTCCAGGCTGTACCTTTCCAGGATTCTTTCTCAGGTGAGCATTTAATTTCTATTGTCAACTTGTGAAATTCTTTTTCAAGTCATTTTTCATTCTCTCTGAGAAATAAATGCAACCTGAGGAAGGTTTCCTTCTCTCTATAGCCTGTTCAGTTAACATTTGTCTGGTTCCTGTATAGGTTTTGCCTTCTTGTGACGAAAGCACAATCTATAGTTCAAGTTTTCTGGAAGTGAGATTTTTCTCTATATCTTACTGTCAGTATTTACTTGGCCAACTCAACAAACCAAATGTCAATGCATGTCTATTTCCTTATCTCCAGATATACCAGATCTTAATTCCAGACCTGTCAACTTCACACCTGAAGTACCTACTTACCTATTTTCTGGCATTTAACTTTTGAACCAGGACTTGCCACCCTGTATATATATCTTTATACATACCTTTTTTCTTTTACTTTCACGGAAAAGTAGATTACCTGTCAACTTCAAACTTGAAATAGTACCTATTATCAGGCATTTTACTTTTGAACAGGACTTGCCACCCTGTATTTTTTTTATTGAATTTCAGTATCGACAATTCATCAAAGTTGAATTTAGTTTCTTCATTAGATAAATGATAATTTTTCCTTGATTTTTTTCCTGTAATAATATATCAATACCAGGATATCTCATTATAAATATTATTCAAATAATCTTTCTCTGAGTTAATGATTTGATTCTCAGTTATTTCTGGTTTCAATTTGAGTCAATTTTCTTTAGTTTTTTAAAAAGACTGAATTTTCAAGTGTCAAGTTTTTTTGTTTGAATTGAATATATACATATCTTCCTAATTTTTCTAAGTTCCTAAAATTTCACATTTCAATTTGTTACTTTCCAAAGTATTAACATTCAGAACATAAAACTCAGTGAGCGGTTCAAAGGATATCCTTTCGTCCCTTTAATCACAATGTCGACAACTTTCTGATTCCTCGTATATTTCCGCATGCACTCTACGTCTATAACTGCATCGAGGATCCTGGTTAACCAAAGAGGGTTTTAAAGAACGGTAACACCTGGAGATTCCCTACTGAGCAGTCAGAACTGAAGGAGAGACTATACCCTACTACTTCCATCCCCAGAAGTACCCACCACAGTACTTGGTGACTCTGGAAGCAGAACCGAGAGCTGGAAGCTGAACTGACTCTGAAGGTTGAACTCCCATTTACCTTAAGGAAACCCTCTTGGACAATTCATCCGGCCAACCAGGTATAATCCATCCAAGTGCCAAGACCTTCGATTGGAATCAGATCGGATCAATAGCTCTATGTAAAGTTGAATGTTCTGAATCTATTTTGCTACCTTTCTCTTGTTTTTTAAATTTTTCAGTATTTTCAAATAATCCTCAATCTTGTTTTTGGGCCTTCAGCCACTGCAGTCTCACATAATTTTCAATATTCTTTTAGGGCCTTCAGCCACTTCAAACAACGTATTGTAATCTTGAGGTAATCTTACATTCTTCTGGCCTTCAGCCCTTTTGTAATTTCCTCAAGGAAATAAATTGTTGAATTGATTCTCTGTATATTTGTTTTGTCTTCTCATCCAAGCAAGGTTTTTTAGGAAGTATCTGATTGGCTTTTGTCTTTTGCAAGCCTGGCGCCCAAATATATCTAACAGTCAAATTAATCACCTTAAAATCATCCTTAGAATTCATATTACTTGATTACCATCTTAAAAGTAAAATTGTAACTTTTGAACTCACACCCTACCGCATCAATCTGAGCAGCCCAAAGGCCTAAGTATAAACTTTCATATTTTTTGTTTCAAAATTTTTTCCAAATTCTGAACTCAGAGTGTGGAGTGTTACAAATATTTCTACCAAGTATGAATAGATTATACAACGTGGTTCAAAAATTATGACCAGATGAAGATTTTGCCAAAATCAAGATATCGTCCTGTATCTCAGTTATAAAAGACGATAAACATATCAATGGGGGTGATTTGAAACCGTCAACTTGTCCTCTATCTGCCAGTATCGTATGTACATTTAAGTCTGAAACACCCTGTATATTATATATTTTTCTATTTTTTTCTTATTCCACAGCGGTAGAGGGTTTTGAAATTTGATTACTTAATGAAGAAGTTTATTGATACGTTCGAAACGGGCGTTCTCAGACGCATGTTATCATATATCATTGAATTCGTCTTTTTCAGCTCTATCCAAGAATGGAATGAAATATAGGGCGTTCCATTTGAAAATTCCGAAAAAATGATCGGTTTGCAAGATACGTCATTACCTTTGGTAATTAGTTTTTTTTTAAATATTGACGAACTATCAATATAACATAATTATAGAATTCGATAATTCATGATGAAAACTGCGCCTCGGAAACTTGATTCTCAACATTCCTATAAGGCTCTGAAATTTGGCTATTTATTGAAGAAGATTATGGAAAAAGTCCGAAACGGGTGATCTCATACCCATATTATCATGTATCATTGAACTCATCTTTCTGAGCTCTACCCAAGGACGAAATGAAATTCGGGGTATTACATTTGAGAAAATGTATGTTTGGTATGTCAAAAGCATATAGACATTATAACTAAAAAAAATCTATATAACTATGAACAACTCCGATTCTCTCAATTT